GGGAGGGGGCGATGGGAAGGGCGGAGAGGGTAAGGGTAAGGGATCAGTTGAGTCAAGAAAATTACCAGGTCTAGAACGAACAGCGTCAACTCATTACTGAGAGCAGGCGACACTGATCTGATAGGCTGATCTTCCATGATGAAATTTCTCCGTTAATTAATCCGTGTTGCATCGCGGTAAAACGAGGCTCACGCTAGACGCTCAGAGAGTAAGAACGTATAGGGTTCACGTCAATATAATGAACTTGAGGAAACCGACCTTTCTCTCTCTCTCTCTCTTTCTCTCTCTCTCTCTCTCTCTCTCTCTCTCTCTCTCTCTTTCTCTCTCTCTCTCTCTCTCTCCCTCTCTGTCTCTGTGAGAGAGAGAGAGAGAGAGAGAGAGTGTGTGTGTGTGTATTTGTGTGGTGTGTATTGTGTCTGTCTGTCAGTTTTGTGCACGTGTATATGTATGTCCGAAAGACGGAATGAGAGAGACAGAGAGAGACAGAGAGAGAGACAGAGAGAGACAGAGAGAGAGAGAGAGAGATAAAGAGAAAGAGAAAGGGGAAGGAAGAGGGAGAGAGAAAAGTGTGTGTGCGTGTGTGTGTGTGTGTGTGTGTGTGTGTGTGTGTGTGTGTGTGAGAGAGAGAGAGAGAGAAACTGCAAAGAAATGCAAAAGAACAATAGTAAATCTACAAAGGAGTTGGAAGAATAAAATCAATACTTCTCATAATTGACTCGACGGAGCGACAGAGATACAAAGCTCGTGAAAAAAACACACATATCATTCTCTGGGTAATTTAGAAAAGCACTTTTTCTCACAAGAGCAGAAAGTTAATTCTGGAAATTTCTCCCAGAACATTTTTTTAAAATAGTGAGTTGAAGCGTGAGAGCAGCTGATAGTTTTGTGAAAAATCCTGATTGTTAGAGGAAGAAAATTAAATAGCAAGTTTGATATTTGTCTATGAAGATAGTTGTTATGGACAGTGTAGTTTAATCGTCAGGAATTAAATAAATTAACTTTAAAGAAAAAAAAAGAATAAGTGAATGAATTCCTCTGCCTTGATCCACATGTTGAAATGCTGAAATATGGGTTAGTTTTCAATGTCGTCATACATACAAGTAGATCTATTCATAATTTCTTCAAAGCGCAATACTTCACCCTATCCGTACGTCGCGTTTTACTATCATAAATTTACTCGTTATTAATCCGATCCGTACGCTTTGCATAGCAGTCTGTCAAAATGAGTTTTTGAGAAATACTGAAAGTTTCAAAGAGGTCTTCGTAGGCTACTAGAAGTATTCTAAAATTTGAAGAATACAACCCCAGGGCGTACGGATAGGGTTAAACACACAAAAACCAGCCGGGTGTCTAAAAAAGAGGAACACCCACTTTAACAGACATAACTGGCTTATCTTTTAATCAATTTTAATATAACTACGCAGAATTAAAATTCAACCAAAGGGACATTTAAAAAATAAAGTTGTTCCCGCATGTGATCCGGACATTGGGGATTGCCTTGTTAGTGAGACAACTTCCTGGGCCTTCGGCATATTGTGGTAGGG